ACAAATCCTGCTGCTGTATATTGTGGAGGAAACATCCTTTTCAGTTATTAATTAAATGGGTCAGTAAAGTGAGAACAAAACCAAGTGCAAGTGGTTTACAGGACATGCTTTGCAAACTCCAGACGTATTTCAAATGAAGTAATCTAAATACAATATTTTGCGGAATATGGTGGATTTTTACAATCAGTAGAAATTTCAGTGCATGATTGGTAACTTTAGGGATCAGAAACATACTTGGCATATGGTAATCCTTTTATTTCTGTTTGGATGACATGCAGCGTAATCACAAAAATTAATACAGAGATAAGGACCGCGATCTTTCGCAGGTTGCCGCAAGATAGCTGGATCATTATCATCATCATCATCATCATCATCATCATCTAGATAGGTAAAATGTTACGACTTTTGATCTTAAACAAGGTTCTAAACTGGTATTTTGCTACAAAGATCATCAGATTCCAGGTCAAAGTTGTGTACCTACATCTAAAACTAAGTAATGGTTCAAGCGTTGATAGCCCATTTGCATCAGCGGAGCGTGGCCCGGTGTGAGTTTTCAGGGAGTCGGGTTAAACGAACATACACAGCGTATGCATACTAGCAAGGTAAACAATCAAAATATGTCATGAGAACTGGAGTCACATAATCGTCGTTCACGTACTACAACCGGAGGTTGAGAAGTATAGCAGCAAGATGATCATCCAGACATTACTGGGTGGCATGAGAAGTGCAAGAGCTTGGCAGCTCCGGCAACGTCATCGAGACAGCTTGAAATGATATTCGGGTAACTTGGATTGCAAAGTTATTTTGTGAGCTTTATCATTTGGCACAATGTCTAATTACTTATTAGGTAAGGAGACAAGAGGGTGGAGATAAACGATAGTCTCAGGGACCATTTCATCATCTTTCCGATGGAAAATGACTGTTTCGAAACAATATATATATCCCTAATGTCCTTCTTTTAATTCTCTTGGGATTCACTGTATTATAATCCAGTTTACGAACTTGTCAACGAACCATGACGCAGAACCAAAACGCTTGTGTCGGTGCTATGTGTGTGTGTCTTAACCATTCCTCATCAATAAAATTTCTTGGAGTATTGAGTGTCAAGGAATGAACAACGAACCTCGGTTCAATTAATAACAGACTATCTACCATTCGCCGTATCTCAATAAGACAGGAAAATCTGTTCAAATTTTTTTTAGTCTGATTTTTTTTTCCGAATGATGATAAATTAGTCTAAAATCGGTTATCGCCTTTGAAACTTGCTTTCACCAGTAAGTAATTTCGTTAATTTTGTTGGAACCATTCAACAGAAGGGTTTCTATAAATAGTATAATGATATTATCAGCATTCTTTCGTTGATTTGAAATCTGGCTCCGTAATGCCAAGCCATTTAGGGGAAATATTTGCACTGAAGATCGCAGAACTGGGTTCAAAGAGCGGCTCTTGCCACAAATAGAATAATAATCATCGCATTTCGCAAATGGGTGTATTTATCCACTTGGAAATCAGTCAGTTGTGCCCCGACAGGGAGCCACTTCACGATTAGTGAAATGCTAATGCTGTCACACCGAACGAACCAAACTAATGACGTAATCAATGAATTACTATCAAAGACGACGCAATACTCGAATAGTAGTAGAAAAATGGGAAGGCACCTGTATATTTGCTTTCGACCTAAAAATCAACTATACCTTTCCAGACCACAGGCTACTAAAGAATGTTCTTACTTTCTTCTTTCGTTTAGTGAGTATACACATGTACTGTTGGTTTTCATGTAGAGGGTCGTGGTTATATGAAGACTTAACTGGAGAAATACAGAAATGGGGAAGGTGGGTGGCGATGCTGCGGTTCGAACTCAGTGCTTCCGGGTTATTTTTTGGTAACCTTACACATTTTACCATTGCCATCAACCGAGTGAGCAATGAATTCCCCGAAAAAAGCACTTAGTCTCTTATCAGGTCCAGTTGAACGGGGACTTTCTGAAACTGAATGCCCGGAATGACGTCAAAACAGCCCAGTTCATCTGAAGTAGGCGATTTTTCAAAAATTCTTGTCCGATGGGACTCAATGAGGAGTACAGTACCTTTGATCTTTGGCAATAGGCAGTTTGGCATATTTTTCATGTCTTTTTGACATCACCTGTGGTATCATTTCGTATCGGGGTTGCGGTAACTGGGTGACTCAAATCAGTATCGCTGATTTACCTCAATGTTTGAGCGTTCGAGTGAACCACAGGATGTAGAACAAGGAAAAACCCACCTGGTGAGTAAAAAATGTGTACTGTACATCATCATCATCATCATCATCATCATCATCATCATCATCATCATCATCAACAACAACAACAACAACAACAACCAGAATATGGAAGACGCGATATTTAAATTACATGTTGACAGTACTGATCAACGTGTACGTGCGTTTATACATGTATGCCAGTGACAGCCGACAGAGAAATTGTTATCCCGACAAACGAGAACAGATGCAGAATCGACAGTTGCTCCTATAACAGTAAAATTCATTTTCTGGCCTATATTTAGTCAAATGCACATGACTATCCCAATAGCATGATCTAGCACGCAGAAAACAAAGGATGTAGGAAACACGAACACTATGTAGAATGGGGCAATGATTGGCTGTCGTTGACTAATGCAGCACTCTTCCAGTTCAAAACATGAAATGAAACAATCAACAATTATACTTTCAGTAAATTTGTAATTTTCCTGAGGCTGTTATGACCTCTCACT